GGTTGCTGTCTTTTGGCTGCCCAGTTGGATGAAGAATAAGAAAGGAAAGTTGAAAGTGGATTCGAAAAGAAAATGTAGAAGTTCAGTGGTCGAAGGTTGCAAAGAGATTGAGAAGGTGCACGAACGCCACTGGTTGCGACACCCAGCCCTATCGCTCAGTGTCTCTAACCATCGGTTACGATCATCCCGAGGTCCCCAGCCAGGGAGCCTAACAGGACCTATGTGACCCAGTTTCCTGGTTAAGTTTTTCATACCCTCGTGCCAGGTCTTAACTTGACCACCCTTGGCTTTTTTCCACTCGATGTCTGCTTCGGCGAACATCGCTCGCCGTGGTAACCTACCTGGTGACATGCGTAACATATGTCCCAGCCAACGTAATCTATGGAGGTCGACTACTTACTCCAGTAGACGACCGCGGATACCCAAAAACTCGGTGCAAGGGAAGGATGACCAGCCGCAACCCTAGACACCCACTCCCGACCATACTGAGGCTTTTACACACATGAGCGAATCCTGGAATGATTTCTTAGCTGTGATTTGCTTATCACACCCTCCAAGCTCTGACAGGTAATGCAAAATTATTCAGATAAACCATGATAGCGTGCAATAGATCACATGGTTTTCTCTTTCGCTGACCACACCATACTTATAATTTGGTAACATTAGGAGCATTCTCAATATTTCGTCCATAATGCTACAGAGTACCCTTATCGAATGAGCTTTCCATCTCATAGTTTTGGCATCATTCACATCTATAGCACTGGCTTCATGTGATACCTACTTTACTTTACTACGGCTGGCTCCTAGGAACGGTAAAACAGCTGAACCAACTCATGTAATTATTAGATTGATTCAGCATAACTTCATCGGGGTTGTTAAAAACCTCAACGGTCTACAACGATAAAACGATTTTCTTGAGTAACGGTCACTGCCAAGGATATTCGATGTTTCAAAGCATTTTGAAAACTTAAATTCCGTGAAAACGGTCTACTCTTTTCACAATGAACATTTATGAGTAAACACATGGATTAGACGAATGCAACACTCTACCAACCTTGAGGAAATTTGCATCTAGTTGTGACGCAACTGCGCGAGCAAGGAGAGTTTTTCCAGTACCGGGAGGACCGTAAAGCAAACATCCTTTGGGAGGCGTTATTCCAACGCGTATAAATAACTCCGGATTCATTAGAGGGAGCTCGATCACCTCTCGCAACTCCCTGATTTGTTCTGACAGGCCGCCAACGGAATGATAGGAGACATCACCAGGATCTTCGGCGGACATGTTGTGAACCAAAGGGTCAACCTCACGGGGCAACTGACGCATTATGGTGAGTGTGGTCACATCGAGAGCGACACGTGTTCCTGCCTTCAGTTTGCTGGTTTGAAGGCTACGACGGCACCCAACCACATACCTAGGACCGTTGCTTGCCTTTACAATGACTGAAACAGAGAGCAAACTGTGAATGATTGTTTCTCACTTATTAAACGTATCACTGAAGATTGAAAAGAGACACTCACAATGATCCTCGGTGAGTTGTTTGAGCACGTCACCCACAACCTGAAGAAAACTGCGATAAGTCAACATTGCAAACTTACTTGACCAACACTCTGGAGA